ATGGGGTCATTGAGCCTGAAGGCAGGGCAGTGGTGTGCTGGTAAATGTTTAACAATTGAATCTACAAACAAAGTTTCCATTCGCCAATTTCCATGACTTAATACTCTCACCATCGATAATTTCAAGCTACGACATGGAATCACCAAATGGGGAGCTGGGAAGACATATATACACAATTGGATCCTGCTGGCTGCAGCACCCTAGAGAGGCAGGGAGATTCAGTCCTTCTAAGGGGAAATTGCCTCCACATTTCTCAGCTCCAATCTCCCTCCTTCTCAGCCCAAATAGCTCGCCCCACAATTTCCATCCCCCTTGCAGAAAACAATCCTTACTGACAAATCCAGTTTGTCGGGAAGCTTTAACAAATCTCAACACAAACATTTTCATCTGGGCCTCCTGGAGCTGCATTTGTGTCACCCAAGCTTTATTTGTAAAATGTTGGCATCCAGCTTTGGGTGGACAGATGTGCACCCTGCCTTGTAAGAGCTTCATCTCATATTAAATGGCTTCAGCCAACATCTAAATCCTGAGTGTCACAGCACACACCATACAATATGGGCAATATTGCTGTCCGAACTTTGTAAATTTTTGCTAAGATAATGCTACAAAGACTCCAGTTGCTCTTTCTGAGTCATGGGTAAATATTTTTGTACAAAGAAGAGAAAGAAGCTCAAGAAATACAAACCCCCAGGGTAAAATCTGATGTCTTCTTTTTGTCAGTCCCCACTGACCCAGCCCTGTCAAGTAGCCTAATCAATTTTGACCAAATGAGGCAACTTACTAGAAGCTCCCTATGGCAGCAGGTCTAGTTTGGAGATATCTGTCCCCCTGAGCACCTCTACCTACCAAGCTGCAGTCCCCAGGCTTGCTGCTATCAGAGTGACCACCTCTGCTCTCCTGGATGATGAAGGGCATCAGGATATGCTGTATAATCCAACTGTTATCTACTCTTCTCTCAGATCTAGGGAGTTAACTTACTGCAAATCCTTTCTGAGGTTCAGAGCCTTCCAAGACGATTTTTGCCCCAGCAGTTTATGGGTTAGCTATGGACCTGCACTGAAACTCATTACTTATGCAGTTATCTTGTAAAGTTTTCAGAGGTACCTGTTTGCTCTTGCCTTCTTGGTTTTGATGATTAATTTTATAGTACCCCTGCAGGCAGGAGGAAAGGAAGAAGAACAGATGCCTTGGGGAAGGGGACAACTGCACTGCCTACCTGTTGTGTTGTAGGCTCTGTGTTACACTTTCACATAGATCCCCTGTGCCCACATAACAGCTGTGCAAAGTGGACAGACATATTGACACCCACTTTCAAAATAGGTATAAATTCGTAGTCACTTTATATAAGAACTCAAGTTTCAGGCTACTCTGTCTATGGAGTGGTCACTCTCTTTTTTTTTTGAGACAGAGTCTCACTCCACCACCAGGCGCCAGGCTGGAGTGCAATGGCGTGACCTCAGCTCACTGCAACCTCCACCTCCCAGGTTCAAGCAATTCTCCTGCCTCAGCCTCCCGAGTAGCTGGGACTACAGGTGTGTGCCACCATGCCCAGCTAATTTTTTTGTATTTTTAGTAGAGACGGGGTTTCACCATGTTGGCCAGGATAGTCTTGATCTCTTGACCTCGTGATCCACCCACCTTGGCCTCCCAAAGTGCTGGGATTACAGGCATGAGCCACCGCACCCAGCCTGGTCACTCTCTTATTCCTTTACTTTCTAAATAAACTTACTTTCACTTTGCAAAAATAAAAAATGAAGAAGAAGAAAAACTCAAGGCTCAGAAAGATTAACTCACTTGCCCCAGATCCTGGCCAGGCCCAGTTTTGTTATTTCTTCCCACACTGCAATCCTGCTGAAGAGGCCACTGACTTTTTTTCTCTATGCTTCATTGCATGGTTTATATTGAGAAGCAATAAACAGAAGCAAGAATTATATTTGTTCCTATGGTATTTCTTTTGGGCTGAACTCACATCTCATAGAGTAACTATTTAGTTCATAATTGCTTGAAAATTGAAGGAGGATTTTTGGTAATAAGGAAAGAAATGATTCTAAACCCTCACATAGGTTACAGGTAAAGCTCTTTACCTGGTTATGGACAGTGACCAATTATCTTGATGTGTCCAGGATTTTCTTGACTTTATTACTGAAAGTTCTACGCCTTGGCAAACCCTTCAGTCTCTGAAAAACTGAGATAATTGGATTATTCTAAATTGTGACCCTTAAAGGGCACTGGCACCTCTGGTGGCTGCTGCTGCTATCCAGTTAATTATAATTGTACCCTGCCCATGTAGTCTGTTTGCATCTATTTATTTATTTATTTATTGAGATGGAGTTTCACTCTTGTTGTCCAAGCTAGAGTGCAGTGGTACAAACTCATCTCACCACAACTCCACCTCTGGTTGAAACAATTCTCCTGCCTCAGCCTCCTGAGTAGCTGACATCACAGGTGTGCACCACCACACCTGGTTAATTTTGCATTTTTAGTAGAGATGGGGTTTCTCCATGTTGGTCAGGCTGGTCTCGAACTCCCAACCTCATGTGATCTGCCTGCCTTGACCTCCCAAAGTGATAGGATTACATGCATGAGCCACCGCACCCAGCGGTGCGGTGTTTGTAGTCTGTTTTTATTAGCAGAGATGTGATCCATTTTATTAGACAACAGATAGATAGATAGATACATACATGCATACATACATATATACATACATATATGCATACATAGAGCAACCACACAGGAGTATTCAAAAACCTTAGTGAGCCTGCCACTCAGGAAAATAGACCATAGTAGATATAATAGTAATCAATCATTTTCATTCTGATCAAGCTAATTTTTAATTAAACCATTCATCCTTAATTTTTTACATAATCAAGATATTGTTCATATCTAGTAGCCTAAAATTGCTTTCAAACTTGGATCCTAAAAAGGATTTACCCTTTTAATCAGCATTGTCTTCACCTTCCCCTTCTCCTTCACTTCCTTCTTCATATAAGTCAGCTGTAAGCTGAGTGGTGGGACTCCATTGTGTAGAGAGAAAGCAGAGGTCAAGAGAAATGAATGGCTAGTCCAAGGTAACACAAAGTGTATGTGCATGGCTCCATCTTTTGCCCTCTGTTCTCACCCTTCCAGGTTCTAGTCAGTGTATGCATCCCCCTAACTTTTCTCTTCTTGGTACCCTGTTCTGTGCTTGGCAAACGTTCGTACCTCCCATACTTCTGGCCTTAGATGGAGAACATGGTTCCTCTGTCCAGGGAACATGGTGTCTTCACTAAGCTCACTTGTACTTGTTTCCCAAATTCAGTCTAATTCAAGTTCACACACACTTATTTAGCACCTATTGTGTGTCAGTTCAAAATATTTTGGGATGAACCATTTTTAAGCATAGGGATTTATTTCTTCACAATATATCACTATCTGGTTCTAAGAGTGGTTCCAGCATCCTACTTTATATATTTGTAAAACATGTAAGACCATGGGCTAACACTGTAGCACAACCCACCATGGGCCATTGTACCCACTGGGGGACAGGGAAGGATCTGATGCCCCCCGAATAACTGCTTGCAGTTGACAAAGCAGTTCCCCACTCCATGATTTCATTCAGTCTCTGTGCCTCCATATCATAGTGTAGTGGTTTGAAGACAGACTGTCTGCAGTCAACCCACCTCCTCCTCTTCTACTAGCTGTCTGGTCTTGGGCAAATGGCCTAATCTCTCTATATCCATTTCCTCTTCTGAAAATGTGAGCAATAATAGTTCTTCCCCACAGAGTGTTTCATGGGATAAACCATGTAAAGAGTTCAGCATGACACCTAGCTTGTAGTAAGCACAATGGAATGTCTGTGAAGACACATTAAGAGCTAACATTTCCATTGTGCTTACTACAAGCTAAGAGTTTTCCAGCTTCCTCTAGACCTCTTCTTAACACCCAGAAAGGGGAATAAGGAGAGTAAGATCCAGAAGGAAAATGGTTTGCTCATTAGGGAACTTTTTTTTTGAGACAGAGTCTCACTTTGTTGCACAGACTGGAGTGTAGTGGCACGATCTTAGTACACTGCAACCTCCGCCTCCCAGGTTCCAGCAATTCTCCTGTCTTAGTCACCCAAGTAGCTGGGATTACAGGTGTGCACCACCACACACAGCCAATTTTTATGTTTTTAATAGGGACAAGGTGTCACCATGTTGGCCAGGCTGGTCTTGAACTCCTGACCTCAAGTGATCCACTCACCTCAGCCTCCCAAAGTGTTGGGATTACAGGCGTGAGCCACTGTGGCTGGCCTCAGGGGCCAATTTTAAATTAGAAATTTAAAATTAGAGTCTACAGACCAATGATCCTGAGAATTTGTTTCTTTGCCCCACACAGATCCTAACCAGAGGTTGCAAACTGGAAGCTTATAGATTAAATATTTTATCTGCTTGTTTAATTGTTTTATTTAGTCAGAATACTATACATAATGAAATCAGAATTTCTGACTCTTCTGGAAAAGTGAGAAGTTCTGGCCACCTAGGCCTGCATTCTCTGGTGACAACCATCTGGTGGAACTGACGAGTGCCAAGCCCTTAATTCTCCACACTCCCCACCCTTCCCTATCAATCAACTCTCAGACGTTGTGGCTTACTGCCATATTCTATTCATATTTCTCATTGAGCTCACACTGTTCTTTCCTTAATTGAACAGAGCTGTTTCACCAATGTCCCTATTCTACAACAGTGGAAAATGACTCACAGACTCCGAGGACTCCATGACTTTTGTCACGGCAGTTACACCACTCTGTTTACTTCTGTTCACCTGCTGGCCCAGCAGGCACTAGGCTTGCAGCCCCTGTCTCAGGCATCATTCCCATGGACGCCTCCCTGTGCCCAGGTGCCCCAGAGAGGCCTGGAGCTCCAGGCACCTGACATTTTCCTGGACGCTTGCTCATCAAAGCCTGAAAGCATTTGGAAAATGAGGGAGACATTTTCCTCCCTCATTCCTCAGATGGAAACATACGAGTGGAAGGAGCTTACCTAAATCCATGGGGAGGGCCTGATAGGACACGAGGTCTTCCGAGGTCTTCCAGACTCCGGCTCTAGACTGAGCTGCTGCTCATAAAGTAGCATCCAGGCAGCACCTGGGCCACAGCCCCTCCCAGGGTGGAGCTGCTCCTCCTTCCAGAGCACCTCAGGAGGAGCCCAGCCTCCCCTCCCACACACTCACAAAGGGCTGGCCAGCCAGAGGAGATGGGCCGGCTGATGGCTGACCTGATGCCAAGCAGGCCCAGTTTCCAGAAAGGTGACTCAGGCTAGCAGAAACCAAACTGGTTCTTATCTGCGCAAAATGAGAGATCACATGTAGAGAACTGAGCTGGGCCTTCATGCTTACCCCAGCCTTGACTACTGCCAGCTCATGCTTGTGTACACACATTCATTCCAAATGTATGTGTCGGCTTAATCCTGTGTGCTAGACACTCTTTCAGGCATTGGGAACAAGCCAGACAAGGTTCCCAGTGCTCTAACGGAGGGAAACAGACAAGAAATGAGTTACCAAATAAAATAACCTCATAGGGCATATGTGCTATAAGGAAAATCAAAACAGTATATGCTTTTGAGGGACCTAGAAGTGGGTGGCTATTTTAGGGAAAGTGGCCAGGGAAGCCCTCTCTGAGAGGGTGACATTGGAATGTCAAGGCAGGGGAAGTTTATTTCAGGTGGAGGGAACAGCAAGGGCAAACGTTCTTGGGTGGAGACCCTTGTGGTTTTTTTAAGCACCATGTGTAAGCCATAGCTTAGGGAATAACAGGGTCCATCCCCGCTTCCAATTACCCACATGCCCTATACCTGGCCTCTGCCGTGACATTGTCCACAAGGCCAGATACTCTTTCCCTGCTTTCTCTAGAAGCACCTGATGTTCTGAACACCCCTCCTCCTTTTTGCCATTGAGAACTATGCTGTTGTAGCTTCATGTCTCTGCATTCTTCAATCAGGGAGCAGACAACTCACAAATGCTTAAAACCATCCAGGTTGACAGGCAGCAGTGGCAAGAGACCCCTGGGTAGGTCAAAGTCCTGAATCTAGTCCCAGGCCTGCAGCCAACCAGTTTTGTGTGTCTGAGCACACCACTTCTGCCCTCCAGGCCTCATTTTGACAACGGCAAAATGAACCTGACATTCCCTGTCCTATCTTAGACTTGGGGCTCACCAGAAGGATGAATGATACTCAGACTATAAAATGCTCGCTAAATCACATGCATTTACACGGGGCCTTGCTGCAGGTAATGCCTTCATACACAGAAGAAAGAGAGAGGAAGGAGCAGGCCAGCCTACTGGCCGCCACCAATCCCACCACCTTCACACTGCCCCTCCTGACAGGGAAGAAGACTCTCACTTGGGGAAGTGCTCATAATTCATGAACTTCTCAGCAGGGATCTGGTGAGGCCTTCAATTACCTCTAACCCTGCAGAGACCTGGACTCATTCCCAGGGTCTCTTCATTCAACTCACAGGGCCTGAATGGGACTGGGAGGTCCAGGGAACCGTGACAGGAAAGCCCCCCACCCACCCTGCCTGGGTGCTCCTGACCGCAGGGACTTCCCATGGGGCCTTCACTTCCTGCTCTCTTCCGCCTTGGCTCACCAAGATGTAATGCCAAGGTTGCTAAGGCTTGGCTGGAAATTTTTGAGCCATCTTTGGTAGAGAAATGCCTGCTGGCTAAAGAATCAGAAACTAGATTTGTAAACCTGGAAACTTTGTCAATGTCAACTTTGTAAACCTAGAAAGTTGGGCATTGGGGCAGCCTGGGAACCTGCCAGGATAGCCTGTTGTGTCATCATGGTGTTATACTTTTCTGTTCTAACAACAGGAGGAGGACACAGTAAGGTAGGCTCTGGCGGCCAGAGGTTCAAATCCCAGCCTCATGAACTATAGCTGTGGGATCCTGAGCCACATCTATAAAATGAGGGTAAGACTCTTGCCCACTTCACAAGGTGGTTGTTTACAACAACTGTAAAGTGCTTTGCATGTAGTCAGAATTATTTAAGTATTAGCCATTGCTATCAGAGGAAATGGGTTGGATTTCTTCCCTGGGGAGCTAGGGACCTGGCTACTCCATGGTCAGTAACAATAGAAAAAACTAGGCTTCCAATCAGGGCTGGGGATTACAAGCTGATCAGCACGTAAGGCTGGGGGCTCCCTTGTGGTCCCAACACTGGGCACATCCAGGGTAAAGGGACAGTTTAAGGGCATCTATAGCCCCCCAGTGCCTAGCCCACCCCAGAATGCTTCTTTGCAGGCCTGCCTATGTCTCCTCTAAAGCTATGAAGCTCTGAGGGATCAGGGCTTAGCCTAGGGTACTCAGTGCATCTGAGAAGCCTGGAGCCCAACATCCCAGATATGGAGAACACTGGGAGAGCTGGCATTTGGGAACCTTAGAATTCTGAGTGACTGGGGACCCTTGATCATGGTGAGGGGGCTTCTGAAGAACCCTGAGGACCCACATCCTCAATGACGGTAACTGGCCACTTGCTCAAGCATTAGCCAGCCAGCCTGAGGCATAGAGAAGGAAGTGGGTAGGGGGAGGGTAGAAAAAAGGGAGACATCAGGAATGGAGGAGCAAGATACCGAGGTTTTATGTTATTAGAACCCCTCTCTTGGATTAAGAAGCCCTCTGGCAGAAGAAACCCCAAGGCTCCCAAAGGAAGTCCTACTATGGGAATAGAAATCTAGACCACACACCAGGCTCAGCAGCAGGGGGGCCCTGGTGCTGTGGGAAGACTGAGAGCTTGGGTGAATCCCTTCATTGCAGCCGGGAGACAGGTGCATCCTGTGTCCTGCTAGCTTATACACATGAAGTCAGAGCAATGGATGTGAGGTGTAAAAAGACATGGGATAAGCTTTACAATTCTGATGACTGTAAACCCTTGAGTTGTTTGCCAGGGTTGTAAATAAATCCTTAAGTTTTTGCAGAGTTCATAAGAATCTGCTCAGCTTGGCTCTAGGGTCAGCTTGTGAAACAACCCCCCTTGTTCTCTGAACTCCAGCCACACCATCCTTTTGGTTCCTAAAATTCACCTCTTTCTCTCACCTCAGGACCTTGACAGAGCCTCATCCTCTGCATAGAATGCCCTCCCTCCCCTGCTCCATTGACTAGTTACCTATCCTCACCCTTAAGACCTCAGCTTAGACTCCACATTTGTGTGATCCTCTGTGTAATATCTGTCTCCCAGGGCAGGTCACAGCAAGCACCTTGTCTATTTTGTTTACTATTATATCTCCAGCACATAGCCCAGGATTTGGCCCATAGAGAAATAAATGGGAAACTACCACTCATATTCTCATTCTCTCTGTTTCTCTCTTTCACACACACACACACACACACACACAGACTCATATATCACCATAGACAAATGAGACTCCAGATCATAACTTTGTAAGTGGTCACACATTGAACTTTGCAAGTTCACATCAATTGTGGTCAAGATATGCAGACTCTTCTTAACCTGTAATCCACTCTTCTGGGAATTACCTTCATCACCACCACCACAACTCACAGAGCCAGTTGAGTATACATGTACCTGACCTTGTTCCCAGGCCATGACTCACTGGACTTACAGTGGACAGCTGCTTCAAACTAATCCAGTACCAGGAATAAGAAACTGAAACTGGAGCTCACAGGGGCCAGGCAGTGGGTAACCGCTCTCCAACTAAGGACTCCGAAATGCATAAGCCTTAGGGTGATCATCTTCTGCAGGTACACAGAGAAGCAGAGAAGACCATTTGGCAGAGAGAGAAGAACAAAGCAAACAGATAACATTGTTTCCTTAGATAGAGATACAGTTACTACTGCCTTAACTTCGCATAACTTTTCTATTCCCAGTTACTGCCTTTCACAAGGTCTGGCTGCACTTCCTGTCATGAATCACGAACTCCCCATTACAGCCAAAGCCAGCTCAAGCACGTCTGCCTCCTGTAACCAAAGCCTTACTTAAATAATTCCACAAGAGCCAACAAGCAACCCCTAAGGGAACTGAGGAGTCAATAAAAATGAAAACAGATGGAATGAATCCAGTAAGGAACACATTGAAAAATCCTTGGCTATATCAGCATAGTGCATGCACAGCCACAAAGCTCATGGTCATGAGTCCATTGGTTCAGTAATGCAAGTGCAATGTTTTGTCTGCCCAGCACCTGGCCCATGTTGCTGAGCAGCACTTTCTTTTCTCACTCCAATTTTTAAACCACTTTATTGAGGTACAATTGACATATAAAAAGCTGAATGTATTTAATATTTACATCTCAATTACTTTGGAGATAAGTATACTCCCATGAAACCATCACCACCATCAAGGCCATAAACATATCCATCACCTTCCAAAGTGTCCTCCTGCCCCTTCATTATTACCATTATTATTACTGGTAAGAACACATAACATAAGATACACCCCTCTTTGCAATTTTAAGTATACAATACAATATTGTTACTTATAGGTACTATGTGAAATATTAGTAGTAAACCTCCAGAACTTATTTATCTTGTATAACTGACACTTTGCACCCTTTAACTATCACCTCTTCATTTCCGCTTTTCTCTTGCCCCTGACAATCAGTATTCTACTCTCTTCTTTAAGTTTGGCTATTTTAGATTTCACATACAAGTGAGCTCCTACAGAAAACATCTTTTTGTGTCTGTCTTATTTCATTCAGTGTCCCACCAGGTCCATCCATGTTGTCACAAATGTCAGGATTTCTTTCTTTTTTAAGGCTGCATAATATTCCAGTGTGTGTGTATATACCACAATTTCTCTATCCATTCATCCACCAGTTGACATTTAGGTTCTTTCCATATCTTGGCTATGTGAACAAAGTTGCAAACTCCAACCAGCTTACCCCACCCTCAGCTATTGTACATCATGTACATGACCCAATTCAGACCAATGCGAATCTTCCCAATATTATTCAAGCTGAAACTGAAGGAAGAGATGCAGTTCCTCTTCCTCTCATGCTACAGAACACAAGGTGGTAGGGCCATCAGCTAGATCAAGGTGGGGTTTTGTCACTTGCAACAACAACTAACAGCCATCACAAAAGAGCCCTTCCTAATGTGTGTTTGCCTCTTGAATATTCACTTCCAACCACTGCGTGCCAGGTGCAATATTAGATTGTGAGGTTTCCAAGGTCAACAAGGTAGGTGTGTA